GGGAGATGCGTGTGTGTGTGTGGGAGAGAGAGAGAGGCCTGGGGGGTGGGGGAGGGGGCGCGGGAAAAATGTGATTTGGTGGATGGATGATTTGCGGGGTGGCGAGCTTACACTCTGTGCAGAGAAGCGGGGGGACCTCTATTTTGTTGCGAAACACGGAAACGAGTGGCATAGTTTTTGTGCATGCCTGCCTGTAGTGAGCCGAGCATCTGGCTATCAGCGTTTCCAGACGACATCCGGATTTCCAGCGGTACAGGGTGACTGATGGATGATGGGCTGAGATCAATCATTCCGACTACGGTAGAGGGAAGTGGCTGCGGTACGGGGTCGCCTGGAAATCCCCTCCGTTCATTTCTGTTGTCATGGCCGCGGTGCGAGGGAAAGCGGCAGTTTCATACTGTTGGGCTCTGCCATTTGCCTCGTGTTTGAGAACATCAGGCGGTCACATCTCTAGAATCCGTAGCCTAAAATCTAGTCTGAAAAGGTGTTTGAAACCGAAAACCCCTTCTTCATCTTGCTATTGAACTAGATGTAAGAAGTCTCATGGTCTAGTGTGGACGTGAAGTAGAGTTCTGGAGCGTTAAGTACTCGTCTAGAGAATCACTGCGTCCATGCAGGGATATAGCAGTTGTTGCAGTGATTTCAGAGATTCCAGTGCTTGCAGGTGCTCAATGGGAGCGCAACATAGGAGGTGTTGTTTCACCCTGAGGGCACTAAACCTTGTCCCTTTTTTCAAGTGAGTTTCTAGGAGCAGCCCAGTTTCTCACCCTGAGGGCACTAAACCTTGTCCTTTTTTTCAAGTGAGTTTCTAGGAGCAGCCCAGTTTCTCACCCACAAATTCAGCAACCTGCCGACCTGCGAGAGGGAAGGCGTAATTTACGAGCACGCGCGAAATCTTTTCCCATCTTTGAAAGGGTTCCCCCTTTGGGAAAATAAGATGGAAAACGTGACAGTTGATGCTGCGAAATACCCTGACGCCAATCCGAAATCTTGCAGGGTTTCTAAGGCAGCATATGTGACTGGTCAGCCACCCGCCCGAAAGAGCAAATTTGAATTGGTCTCCGTACATGGGTCTGGCTGTTTGAGTGGATGTTTCCACTTGTAGCTTTCCCCTAAACTCTGAACTCGGGAGAGGAGAATGTGCAGTATGAGGGCATAATCATGCTATCCCTTTCCCCTCTTGTTAAGAAACCGTTGTGGGGTGGGACCACCACACAGAGGACCAAGCAATCTCTCTGAACCACTCCCACACCTTTCAAATGGTAGCAACCTATGCAGTCAGGTAGTTTTGTTATTTCCAAGGAGCATGCAAACCCCTTTTTCCGAGATAATTATGTCTGGTTTCGATGACAAATTGACAATGCGATGATCTTATGTGGACTGTTGTTGACAAAAGAACAAAAAGCAGAAGAAACCGAAATTTCTCCAGGTTTCCAAGCCCTTGTGTGTGACTGAGCACCCCAAAAAAAGGGGACAAATTTAGGGGTGATGCTGCGCTGACTCTGCTCTGTTGTATAGGGATGGGACTGACATACGCCTCGCCTAATCCTCCCAAACCAGTTCCACACCTCAAGCGTGGGAGGGACCATTATGATGTGATACTTCGATTCAACACACTGCATTTAGTGGTCTTAGATGTTCTTCCTGGGACTAAGGCGGGTTGTCGCTAGAATCCAGAAAGAGTCTAGAGACTTAGCTTCTGATCCCACACTACGAATGGAAGGAACTTTTAGACATTTTTGGGGATCCCACCTCTTTCCGGCAGAGTAGGGCGTGGTGCTGCGAAAGGGAGATAGTGAAAACATTTGTAGTCGTGGGGGAGATAGTGAAAACATTTGGAGATAGTGAAAACATTTGTAGTCGTGGCACTTCGTGCATGAACTTTGGAGCAAGAGGGATGAAAATGGTGGGAGCGGAGGCCCCCTACCCTGCAGCGAAAAAGGGCTGTCCTGGAATTGGAAGTGCCCACAAACCTGCTGCCCCATCCGGGAAAGCACCGCTCCTTGTGGGCCTGTGAAGTCCCAATTTTCTTTTCCGTTCTGTGTGGACCGGCTCCATCCTTTTCGTTTCTTTTCAGAATTACCGAAACTCGTGTAGTGTCGGAGCAGGGCTTTGCCCCACTTCAATGCTCGCTACTGCTGAAGTTTGCGCCCCTGGGCAGGGTATTCTGGTCTGAAGTTCGGCCACAATTTGAGGCAGAATGGTACAGCCACAAACTGTTTATAAACTGACTGAAGTTCAAACCGTGCCTTGATCAGATTAACAAAGTCGCTGAGGTTTGTCGGTTCCATGATGATCCCACAATGATGATGCGACCGGGCTGTTGCTGTATCCAACATGAAACACAGAAACCGTATGAAAAAGAAAACAGGAAAGAGTGGAAAAAAAGGGGAAACGAAAACAGAGAGCAACCACAACCACCACAGGTGGGATCCTGTGCATGAGAAAAAACAGGACATGAGGATGACCAATGGGATCCCTGAAGAAATCCTGGAGATGGAGTGACAGCTGCTGGAAGGGTTGGAAAAGAGGATGTGGTGGGCCCAACTGGTGTGAAGTCGTACCGGCTTGACTGGAACAGCTGTGCTTGGGCAACTTTCAGGCTGGAATGGCCATAGTATCACGTATACGGACGATTTATTTTTATAATTAATTTTGCCAGATTGCGGAATGCATACGTATATGACCTTTCCCAGAAAAGGATTGAGTTTGTGACAGTGATAATGAACAGGCATTGTATTTCGGTGAAGATAGTAGTTCCTGTGGGATCTCACTCTAACAACAATTG